GTTTACCTTTAAATAAATGAAGCACATCAGCATTAAGACAGGAATGAGTTAATTAGCCAGTTTCAAAAGCTAGACCAAACAAAATGCAGGAAAAGTATATTGTCAAGACCATTTATGCACCTACAGAAGGTAGTCTAGACGTTGCAGTCGTGTTCTCCCTAATTTGTGCGGATTCCTGTCACCTCTACTAATGAAGAAACAAAGTTTCTTCATTTTCTACTTTATGCAAAGCAGAACCAATAAAGATAGTGACAAGTTTTAGTGCACTGAGATTGAATGATGTAAGCAGTACAAAGGTACTCCACATTAGAACGAACAAGTAACACTACTTACATTGTTACTCAGAGCACAGGAAGTTAAGAAAACTAAATACCAAAAACAGTAACATTCAACCATTAAGCAAAGAAATGCTGCGTTCCCATAGAGACATGCTGGGAATTTCATCATCAACAAAAAGCAGTTTTTCATGTAACACTTCCTAGCTATTACTTTTTCTCCTCCCTTTCCATTCCCTGTAGAGAAAAGAAGTCACCATTCCCAGCATGCAAAATAATGTTACTTAAACCATTCATTTGTCAAATAAAACTAAGGCAACAGTAATGCGTTTGAGTACGCTTCATGAACCCATTTAATCTCCCAGAAGTAATAGCAGCTTAGCTGCCAAGGAAGCGGTCTTTTTCGCTTGCTTTATTTGGTCACTTAATACTCCCAAATTTTTTTCCTAGTACCTGTATTTTCTTTTCTTTTAAGCAGAATTCTACCATCACCTTTGTAAATATTAGCTTCAGAGGAACAGATAAAGTTGGCCAGCAAGCTGCAAGATGCTTACTTCTCCCATCAGCTCCTTGACAACAGGTACAACTCCATTATCTTTTGTAAAGCCCTGGTAGGACATGTTCCTGGCAGCTCTTTGAGTACAGATAAAAATATCTCCATTCACAGTTTCAAAGCCAATGTACTTCATATCTGGTCGAACCCAGCAGTTAGTCTGTCCAAACATGGTCTCTGGCCTGAGCGTAGCAGCCACCAAGAAGATATTTTTTCCTCTCAGGCCACTGAGGGGGGGAAAAAAGTATTCTTTAAGTCACCAAAATAAAAACACTCAAGGTAATACAGAACATGTTTTTTAAGCTAACGTGAACTATAAGTAACATTTGCTAAATGATGAAAGTGATCATTACATTCTTTGGGTTTTTTTTTTTTTCTCTTTTCCATTTTCGTATTTTGTAACTCTAAAACGGAGTTCCATACAGATTAGTGAATACACCAGCTGGAAATAGAGACCAAGTCCTCAAAGTGACAGAAATAATAGAATGAAATTTACATTCGGCACTAGGTAAAATAAACTGTCTACTTTAACGGTCACTGCTGGCCTTAAAAATAAAACCTATCTGCTATTATGAATTCAACACCTACCTTAATTTTGCAGGATAAGGATCTAGCACCTTCATTTTTATTAGAGTATATTCTTGTGGTCCAACACCCTAGAATTCACATACACAAGGAAGTGTTCAATATAGGAAGTTCACTGAGGCAGTAAAGAAAATAAATTCAGTTCTGCAGTAACCTAAACCAAATGCAATTTTAAGTGCAAATGCTTTCTTTAAAGTAAATCATATTTCCATTGATACTAACAGCTGTTTAGTAGAACACAAACTTGAGATATAGCTTCGTACTTTATCCCTCTGTCCAAAAATTTACTCACGACAGCCACTACCTCAGCACCACAGAAGTTAGTAAGAGCTCATTTGCTTTGTTTAAACAGATAAAGAATCGTACGATGTAGCGAAGCTGACGGCACAAACCGCCAAATAACCATACGAAGCAGCTGCAAAGTAAAACACTATCCATAGTTCCAGACAAGTATCCTCAATACAGACATTCAATTTTCACATGTACTGACAGTTGAGAACAGGTAAGTCACTACGTACAAAATACATTTTGCTCCAGGATACAACTTGTTTTTTCATTCACTATTTAAGAATCATAAGAAATGCATAAAAATCACCATTAAAAATATATTACCTCTCCTGTTTGCCTGTCATGATCCATGCAAGGCTGCCCATCTTTTGGAGAATAAATTGTATATCTAGGAAAAGGTACATTTTCATTTAATAGCAAATACAGGATTCTATAGGCCAGGAGAAAAATATTATCTTTATCAAAGGGAGACCTCCAAATGATATTTTCAATTTGTGCCTAAATCAGTTTCCACTGATGTCCGTAACAAGATTTAAGAAAAGCTTTCAGTGTTGGCCCAGCTTTGCTTTGAGTTGATATCCATTGTAAAACTCTAAAAAACAAGAACACAATCTTACAAACTTTGCTAACAGAATCAACCCACTGTGTTACTATGTTTAGTAGGACATCTGAAATGAAAGGATTTTAGTTATGAGCAAGTTCTAGAGATACGCCATAGGGATCCATCTTTCATAAAGCTGAGCTTATCCATACCCACAATAGACTCTTTGTGAGAGGACAGCAGCAGACTTACCGCTTCCCAAACTTAATCTTATTTCTTTCTCTTAAAGTAAGGAATTGCCATCGGACAAAGGAATCATAAAATGGGTTAACATCTGTGGTAATGAAAGAACGTCTCCAATCCACCTGAAAACATGTAGAAATCACATTTTACCGGTTAGAAAATGCAATAAAGAAATTCAAATAACCTCACATGAGCAAAAGTTTTTAATTTAAAACTTAGAAAGAAAAAAAGCTTTTTAAAAAGAAAAAACCAAAAGCGTAACGCAAATTTTTCTTTTAAAAAGAAATAAACCAAAAGCATAATGCAAATACCTATCACAATAAGGGCTCATGCTTTAAAAACAAGCAAAAAAACCCCTCAAAATCTATGCAGTCTGTGTGCGTGGTCCTTCAGAGCTGAGATTTTAAGAATTCAAGGCCCTGTCTGCTGAATGTGAATTTTAGAAATTTCATACTAGTTTTAACCAAACACTCAGAAGTTAAATGTCAGCATGGCCTTAGTTCACGATCTGTATGCATTTTTAGAAGTTTGTCAGTAGGATAAGTATATTCAACATCTGTACTCCTCCTAAAACTATCCATATTAATCGCAGAACATTATATCTAATATGCAAACAAGAGGAACAAGGCAGAATTCATTTATATGAATCTGGTTTTGAGTTGTGACCGCTCCCTAAGATATAATCTCTACACAAAAGAAAATACTTCATGATCAAATAAGACTATTAAAAGGTTAAATGAATAATACCATAAATACTGGAAAGATTTCTAAAATAACGTGATTACTGTGCAGACAATCTCTTCTCTCAGAGAAAAAGAAAATACTAAAATGAGAAATAACACATCTTTTAAAGTTTCTTTTATTTATATATATTAACAGCAAGTATGCTCACTTGCATAATAGAACACCAGATTTTACAGTTACCTTCAATCCCATGCTTTTCAGGTCCCGGACAGCAAGGGGAGGGAAATAATCTAACCAATGCTCAGCTTCAGAAAAACTGACTACTTCTTCGTCACAAAGACCCAAAGACTTCATGATTCCCCACTGGTATTTAGAAGAGCCCGTCTTGGCAGCAGCCTTACTCTAAAAAAGACAGTCATGATTAGAAAATAAAGAATTGCATGCTGCTGTATTCATATAACCTTATATGCTCCAGAGAATTGTCCTCTATTAGAGTGGTTTCTATTTCTAGGGTGGTTTCTATTTCCAGGAATAGAAATTAATAAAAACATTCTAGTGGCCTTTTTCTAACAGTGAAGGCAGTTTCAGTTTCTAATTTACACTTTTGCTTATCTGATATTCAATGCTGCATACTCCAAAACATCATCTTTTCAATGCCTACATCCTTAAAGCCATCAAAATATATCTGCAGAAAAGGCGTGCCATAGCTGTAACTGGCAAAAAAGACTAGTTAGTTGAGGTCCTAGTCAAATAAATGGGTATTTTGCCATGAAAAGACAGAGCAGTCCTGTATTATTATATCCTTGTAATCAATCAGTAGCCTTTTCTACTGGTACTTAGCTCATTTTTTCCAGCTATCGTCCTTCAAATATCTTTCACGTTTCTACCAGTCATTTACCACCTGAAAGAGCAGTCAAGATCACTTTTTCTCTTGATGCCGAATAGACAGAATCCTAAATCTAATGCTTATGAACTTGACAATAACTTTTACATAAACAATATGCGTAAGAATATACTTCTAAAATTTTCCCAGATTTGTTTCTTTTCTTTGCTTTGTGATACTCCCAGAATCATAAATCCTATTTAAAAATCCGGTAAGCCAAAAGAGTTTTAATGATTACACTTAGCATATCTAGCCATATTTCAAAGAGATAATCAGAACAGTAG